ACACTCCTACTTAATCTAGAATTTAAAGGGGACATTGAGGCGGAAATCCCCTCGGAAATGCCTCTCCAAATCTCTGAGGAAAACATACTTCGTCGCGAGCCTACGACTGACGTTTTCCTCCAAGAAAGTGTTCAGCCAGAACGCGAATGAAAAGCTGTCGCTTTGGGACACTTCAACGTGCATATACCAATTTACTTGCTCTTGCTGAGTACTTCGGCCGTACCATGCGCCAACTTGAAAAAAGCGCTCGTGAACACTATCCATTCTGGCTAGTAAAAGGAGATCAAAAACGTGTATATAGTTCAGTGGCAGAACATCTGCTCAATTCAGGACATTCAGAGCAATTCGAAAAATCTTTCAAAATAATATACGAGATTCGATTAAAACTACCAAAGTGAGTAAACTTAAGATATTTGGGACCAGCCGAGGCAATAGCCATCCAAAAACTCTATATAACGCTTCTTAACCAAAAAAAATACGTCTAACGCTTGTCCCTGCCATGGCCATCATAAACAGGCAATTCTTTTAATAGTGACTATCTCATTGCCTTTCTTGTCCAAACTTCCTGTTTACTCACGTTATTTTATTATTTCTGCATTCCTAACCCCCCAATTGCACAATATATCAATCTTCTCAGTAATTATGAAGTTACTTTGTTTGAGTTTTATCCGTCTCCCGCCCCTGTGTATTGTAATTTTATTAATTTGACCCTTAACCGAAAATTATTCTGGAACTTTCCCACCCATTTATAAAAAATACACGAATGTACAGCCTAGTTAATGATTTCGTCGAAAAGAAAATTTTCTTCGCTGCAACTGTCTTTTTAACAATTCGTATGATCGAATGTGTATATTCCATGATTTTGTGTCTGTTGGTATTTTTTAGCGAAAACCACCCCTTGACTGTAAAAATATGTTTTACTCCATCGCAAATTCCGAAGAATATCACTGAAATTTACTACAAAGTTCTTACGATCAAACTTAGTTTTCTGTATAGACGAACTGCAAATGTTACAACCGTTTATCCTTCATCTTGCGTCAGTGGCACAGGGGTAGAATGCTTACTGATCACGCCACATGTAGTTCGGGGTTCAATCCTTGACCGACTCACTCCTTTACTTTACCAAACCAGTAATAAGACTAGTAAAGAGGCGAGGTTGGGCATGAGGCTAGCAACCCCACCCCGTAAAGATGAACACCTAGCCCCTAACTTGAAGCCCTATGTTCCACTGGGAACGTAAAGGAATGAAAAATATATAAAAAATCAGTCATCTTGTCTATTAAAAAAGTAGCACTGCATTTTAGTGTGAACAGATGATGAGAGTAAACGCATTTGAGCATAATTTATTATTATATCCTTTAATTCCTAGAGGAACATAGGGCTTCAGCCGCCCAAGTCTCCGTTGCGTTCGGTTCTCTGCCATAGCTTTCACCTGGCTCCACGTCTGCCCCCCACATGCTTTCATTTCCCTTTTCACATGACATCCTCCATTTCACCCACGCACTGACGACCAACTCGCCGCTTCCCTTTCGGGTTCCACTAGAGCAACGGCCTGGCGTGTGATGTCACTCACTTGATGGTTTGTTTTCTCAGAGTATGGCCTCTAATCCACCTCCATTTCTTCCTGCCTGTTTGTTGCACAATCGGTTCCTGGTTGGTCTGCTCATTGCCAGAGATCCCCGTTCCTGATCTTCTCTGGCTGGCCATCTGATCTTGAGTAATATTGAGCGAAGGCAGCTGTTGTTGAAGGTCTGTAGCTTGTTTGAGATGTTCTTTATGACGCACAGGGCAAGTCTCTGATCCGTATAGTAAGTAAGTCGCTTTGACTTCACATTGGAGTTGAAAACCCTGATCTTATTTTTCATTCTGAATGCTGCTGACCTCCACACAGACTTGAAGAAATGAAAGCTTACCTTGCTTTCCCAATCCACGCTGCTTTGGTATCCTCATCAGTTCTACCTGTCTGTAGTTGAAACGATGCTTCTCAGGTAGGTCAGTAGGTAGAGGAGGTTACTTCTTTCAGGTTCCTCCCATTTGTGCTGGCTGATTGTTGTCTGTTGTTGTTGCTGTGGCTGTTGGCCAGGAATCTTCATCATCTCTGTTTTCTCTATGTTCACCTGTAGTCCCATCTTTGATGCTTCTTCTATCGCCAACTTGTTGCTTTTTACTTGCATATCTTCATGTTTGTGGGAAATCGGACATATATCATCATCAGCGAAGTCCAGATCCTCTAAGTTTTTGTGAGGGTCCATTTTATGCCTGTTTCCTCATTGCTCGTTGTCTGTCGCATTATCCGGTCTACTGCAATCAGGAAGATCATTGGCGATAATAGACAGCCGTGCCTTACTCCCGTCCTCACTTCGAAAGATTCCGTAAGTTTCCCGTTTTGGATTACTTGGCATGCAGCAATGTCGTATAACTGTTAGTTTTATAACCACCATGACTTTTAACTAAGTAAGGCAGCATTTGTTTTAACTAGCTGACTTACACGGATCATGTAAGATCACCAAATGAGATGATTTAGAGAACTACTGAGTCCAGTATTTCTTGGGCTTCTAAGTGTTGCCATCTCAAATTTGAAAACTCGTCAACACTATACAACATTTAGCAAACACGGTGCTTTGTGTTTTTTGGTGGGTGTGAATGAAAATCTTGTCGAAAAAAAGAGTACCAAATATCTTCACCAGTTAAAGATAGAAAATCAAAAGAAATCGCTGAAAGAAAAACACCAGCATTGTTGGTGAATGAGAAAAATGCTCAGAACTACAAGTTACGAGCTTCAGAACCAGCTCACCAAAACTCGAGTGCTGTAAATCAGCCATATTCAAATTTATGACTACTTACTATTCTATCGGTCAGTAAGAAATTCCACTTGCTTCTAAGTATGTTTTGTGTAGTAGGACACTAATGTGCTTTTTTTCAATTCCTACACCATCTACGAGACTAAAATTCTTCAAGCTTTGAATTTTCAATAGCGATGACCTTGCTTTAACCAGATACGACTGTAAACCTTATACTGAAACTTACCTCTTTTTCGATTTTACTACCGGCCAGTAATGTAGTTGAGGTCTAGGCGTACGTCTGTGGAGGATTGAACCTACACCTCCTGCATGGAGCATGATTATTCCGTCAATAAATCATCGATGAACAATGATCATACCATTAGAATAATTTCAGACTATCGTATTTCTATCTAAATCTAACTATTTTAAGTAACGTTAAACCACTAACAATTTAGATTTTCCCGTCGATTGATTAGATCGAATTGCTCGGTCTCAGGTTGACATGTCGGCTCCCCGTGCAGATGCTTAGACGATGTCTAGTCATGTAACTTGAAGTCAGTTGGTGGATGGTGACTAGCAGTGGAATCCAGAACAACGGTCATTCTGTCTTATTCGGGATTCATCAGCCAATGGATGTACCTGCATTCCCCAGTCACCGATTGATGCTGTTCCCATTGAAACTCGAACCCAGTGCTCATAGTTCCAAGCACGAAAGCTCCAAATCCAAATTCAATTAAATAATTTATAAGACTCGTTACACAAGAACTAGGTGACTCTCGTGGCCCAAGTGGTCTAGTAGATAATGTTTGGTGCTTAAAACTATCTATGGGCAGTGGGTTTGAGCCTCGGTGGGAACACTATCACTCACTGGGGAATACAGATACATCCAAATAGGTGACGAGACCGAAATGGGACAAAATGCGCGTTGCCCTTGGATTCCACTGCTAGTTACCGTCCACTAGTTAACTTCAAGTTAACTGAAATTTTATTGGGAAAAAAAACCACGGCCGAATGACATTCACTCATATTGTGTGTGACCAACATTAGTCCTGTCTTCGAAAAAGCAGCAAAGACAGGAGTCCAGGTGAACATAGACAGGACGGAGGTGATGAAAATAACCAACCACCACCACCACCAACAACAACAACAACAACAGCAGGAACATCCAGCACCAATCACCATCAACGGGAGGAATTTGAAAGAGGTTACTTCATTCACTCACTTATCTATAGAGGGAACATTGTCTCAACTACAGGCAGACGGAACGGACGAGGATGTCAAATCGAGCGAGAGTCGGGAAGAGGGGCGAGAAACACATTCATCAATCAACCTGAAACAACCAATCTGGAAATCTTCCGCTGTCACTCAGCCACCATCAACAACAACGAAATTCGGTCAGATTTTCAATACAAACACGTCAAGTCAGTCAGTTCTTCTATACGGATAAGGCAGAAACTTGGTTAGCGGGTGGGTCACAAAGAATATTTCCAACAGCCTGTTGCAGATATTCATCAACAACCAACTGTCTTCGCTGGATCTATACTGAAGATCAGATGGCCGGGCTGGGCTGAAAAGAATCACCAACAAGGAACTATGGAAACGAACAAAACAAGAACCAATCGCCAACCAACAAATATTCAGGAGAAAGTGTAGATGGATTGGACACTCGCTGAGGAGGCCGCTGGGTGACATCGCTCGCGCGTAACGCAAGCCATTGCTCGAGTGGAACGAGGCCGAAAGAGAAGTGGTGAGTGGGACGTCGGTGTTAGGGTGACATGGAGGAGATTGTGTGAAGAGAGAGGAGTTGAAAGAGTATGGACTAACATGGATGGATGCAGGTGAAAAGTACAGCAGAAGGAAGACAGAAGTGGCAATTGGAGACGTGTAGTTGAATCCCTATGTTCCACTAGGAACCCAAGGGAACAATAATAATAAGCATTAGTTTATATCTGTAAAGCTGTGAAACCTACACTTAGTCTTGGGTTTAAAACTCGGTTTACAAATATTTTCACTGCTTGACTTGACAGATATTACTTATCTTAGCAATGTGTACATGAAACTTTTACTAGATTTTTGATATCTGTCAGATGTTTTGGAATAAAGCAAATTATTATTATTATGTACAGGCTATTCACTGTGTTCCATATCACTGAAATTACTTGTTAGGGAAGAAACAAAATTCAAAATACGATATAAGGCTAAACTATGAGTACTTACCGAGTAATAATAACTCCAGTTTTTGGATCAATACGAAAAGCTTGAGAATTCCTTTCATTTTTCAATGAATACGTCAACCTCTTATCAATATTATTCGTTGTTAGTTTAAATTCATTCTTTAAACTTTGACTGTTTGAATTCAGTAAAGAATTCGGTTTATCCATATAAATAAATAAATCAGAAATATCTGTAGATGCAGGTAGAATATCCAGATCATACGCTTCAATTTGTCCAACACGAGTACCCGGCAGTTGATTCTCTCGTATACTAAACAGATAACCACCAGTTATACCAAGTTGGGGATGAAACATCGGGGATTATCGTTTATATCTAAAATTTTAACAGTAACTGGACAACTGGTGCTCAATTTTATCGGCTTCCCACCATCTGTAGCGATGACTGTAAACTCATGCAGGGGTATTTGTTCACGATCAAAAGGACCCCAAGCAAACAGTTGGCCAGTCTTAGAATCAATTGAAAATCTACCCTTTAATTTCTCTTCAGATTCTGCTGACAGTTGAAAAGTGATTTCCGAATTGACTCCAATATCTTCATCCTTCACTGTAATAAATGCAAGTCCATTTGGAGTGAACCAACTTCGATTAGTCATAGTAATATCCAAATGATCTTGTTCTCCATCATCTTCGTATAATGCAAATCGATACATTTGTTCAATACACTGTGGTGCATGATCATTAGTATCAAGGACATGTATGATAATATTACTCGTTGTAATATGATCTGTTAAATCTTTACACTCAACTGATAACATGATTCGAGATTGTTTTTCACGATCCAACTTTGTCGCCGTGTACAACCGATATTCATTATTTGCGGAATCTTGATAAGACAGACGGAAATTTACTGCATTTGGACCAGTTAGTTGACATTGTGATATAATGTGACTAATCATAACATCAGGATCTTTTACTTCAATTAAAGCTACCAGCTGGCCAGCTGGTTGATTCTCTAGAACTGCTATTTCTGTATCATGTGATGGCTGAGGATTACTCAGACTTGCTGCGGTCTCTTGCAATGATTGTATAGGATGAATTCTTATCTCAGGTGCTTCATCATCAATATTCTCCACTTCAATTTGTATTGTGGTATGTCCAGTCTTTGCATATGCTATACCTGCACCATCAACTGCAATCACATCAAAACTCATTACAGTTGTCGGTAAATATGGCGTATTTACAGCCTGTTGAGTTTTAATATCAACATTCAGCGGGCGGAGGACGCGTAGTTCACCATCACGTGTCATTTCAAAGAAATAATGTATCAACTGGTTTGTAGAATCTGGTGCAAAACTATACGTGATTTCAGCATTTTTACCTTCATCAGCGTCTGTGGCATGCACGCGTAGAATTGTTTTACCGACAGGAAAATTCTCTGGGATTGAACCAACCTTATGATTAGGCAGTTGAGGTTTATACAGTGATTGAGTAAATTTTGGACTGTTATCATTCACATCAGTAATATTTACATGGATATATAAACGACTACTCAGTGGAACTGAACCTTCATTATTTACAGCTAGTATGATTAAATCCCAACCTTGTGGTTTTGCTTCACGATCTAATGTATGCCTTGCAGTTAGAAACAGGCGTTCATCACCAAAATGATTCATATCAACCTTTTCGGTAACTAATTCAAACATATCTGTTGCGCGTAATTTCAAATTGTTCACATCATTTAGCATATATGAATGCATATTATTGTTATTATTAGTAGTACTCATTGCATTTGAATCAGAATTTAATAACTGATAATTGATTTTAGCATTAATCCCAATATCCATATCTTTAGCTAATGGGATAGACTGTTTCGTCCCTGGCGGGTCATCATCTCGAAAATATATCGTGATCTTATCAATATTCCACTGTGGTGGATTATCATTAATATCTTCGATAATTACATGAATTTGATAAATTTTCTGTATATTATCGTTAATCGTTGCTATTCTCAGGGTAACTGTACAATCATGATTAAAATTTAATGAATTCATATAATTTGAATCTAGTGCATAATTATTTTGCGGATTATTTAAACTATTCAATTGATGCTGATTAATATTCATTTCATGCGATTTCAATGGGCATATTGTCTCACGATCAATTCGATCACTAACAATGAATTGGAGTTCATTGACACCTAGATCAGTTTGTTTATCTAATGTAAGCCATTTAAAATCAAAACAACGTACACCAGGATCTTTAATATTTAATATTCTTGGTTTTTGAGTAAAGTTCTGTCCTTTACCAATATTATTATTATTATCATTGTTATTACTTAGACTTAAATATAAATTACCCAGTTTTGTACCAGAAGCAATCACAGTGCCTATAGGTAATTCTTCAAGTATTGTAAATTTCAAATCATCTTCATTTTGTATTCCCATTTCATGAATTGATGAGCATAGGATCAGAAATGATAGAAAACTTAAATTGAAAAATATTTGAAAATATGTTTTAGACATTCTATAGTTTGATAGTGCATTGAATTGGTGGATATTTCAATTCTTCAGCATATTACAGATTGATTGTTTGTATACATAAGTCATACCTTGGCATTTATTTGTATAGAAAATCAATAATGTGGATTTCGCAGAAGCATTCCTTCGATATGCAGTAGATTGCTAAAGTGTGAGGAAAATAAAAAAGCAGAGTATTTTATTGTAGAAATTATTCAACATTTAGGTGAGTTATTATCAAGTCTGATCACGAACTAAATTTAGTTATAGAACCAGTGGAAACCATGTTGTTTGAGACAGTTGTTTCTTCAAAGATCCAGCCTATGACCTTAGGATTACATGGCTAGGTCGTTGACTATCCAGCCGACGCTGGAGGAATCCAATGGCCCACAAATTCGGGTCTGACTGGCTGACGAGCTGGCTTTGTGATCTGGTTTCTGGGTTCGATCTCTGGTTGGGTCTTGGGTGGCGTACTGATGATGAAGAGTCCCAAATATGCGCGAAACAATCAGCTGATACTACTTGGTTTTCACTGGATCACTAACCAAAGACATTTCGCAGTCAACCTTCGAGGTATTTACAGGCAACACAAGAATATATATATATTCGTTACTTGGCAAAATAAACCACAATACTTATTTACGAACTCTCTAAAAAGTTCAGTTTAATTCAACTCACAATCACCCCACCTTAATGTCTGAATATTAGGCTGTTGATTAGTGAATTTTCTTATACATCTATTGATTTTCATCATTACCTGTTGTCAGGATGTTATTGTCATTTTCATCTTTCAGGCATCAACTACACAGAAAAAAAACGCTCTAAGTACACCTATCATACATCCAGTGAATATTGGAATCATAACAATCTATCAGTTAATGACGGTCTGCTTAATAATCCGTTCCAGTTGACAGATCATTCATTATGAGTTCATTAGTTGGTATTTAAACTGACTTACATTCGTGAGGTTCGTATTTCATGACAGAAAGAGACCGGATTCAGGAGAAAAAAGTCATGTATTGATCAAATCGCCACTTTACAGATCATAATTGAACAGAGTTTGAAATGGCAGTCAGCACTCTATCTCAAATTCATTGACTTTGAAAAGGCCTTCGACAGCTCAACGTCGATCGAGAGGTGATTTGGAAACTATTTTACTACTACGGGGTGCTGCCTACAATTATACATCTCATCCAGCAGTTGTACGACAATGCTGCATGCCAAGTACTCCACAAAAGGAAACTCACAGAATCCTTCAGAGTGAAGACAGGAGTAAGACAAGGCTGGCTGCCTACTATCGCATGATCTTTCTGATTGCAGGAGATTTAATAATGCGACAGACAGCGGCGGGCAGCAAGGAAACAGGCATAAAGTGGACCCACACACACACAAAATGTTGGAGGATCTGGACTTCACCCATGATGATATATGTCTGGTTTCCCACAAACTGGAAGATATGCAAGTGATGAAAAGCAACAAGCTGATGGAAGAAGCATCAAAGATAGGACTCCCTTCAGGTGAACATGGAGAAAACAGAGGTAGGTGATGAAGATTCCTGGCCAACAGCAACAGCAATACCAACAACAACAGACAACAATCAGCTTGCATGAATGGGAGAAATCTGAAAGAAGCAATCTCCTTCACCTACCAACCTACCTACCTACCTAACAGGAAGCATCGTTTCAACTGCAGACAGGTAGACCTGATGAGGATACCAAAGCAGCGAGGATCGGGAAAACAAGACGTCTTCATTACTTTCAAGTCTATGTGGAGGTCAACAGAACTCAGCATGAAAATGAAATCAAGTCTCGGATTTTCAACTCCAATGTGAAGCCAGTACTACTTACTATACGGATCAGAGAATTGGCCAGCGCGTCATAAAGAGCACCTCAAACAAACTACAGACATCCATCAACAGCTGTCTTCGCTCAATATTACTCAAGATCAGATGGTCGGCCGGCCAGAAAGATCAGCAACAGAGGGGATCTCTGGGAGCGAACCAACTCAGCAGGAACTGATTGTGCAACAAATATGCAGGAAGAAATGGAGGTGGATTGGCTGGCCATACTCTGAGAAAACAAACCGTCAAGTGAGTGACATCACACGCCAGGCCGTTGCTCTAGTGGAACCCGAAAGGGAAGCGGCGATTTGGTCGTCAGTGCGAGGTGAAATGGAGGAGGTCATGTGAAGAGGAGATGAAAGCATGTGGTAGACGTGGAGCCAGGTGAAAACTATGGCAGAGAACCGAACGCACTGGAGACTTGGGTGGCTGAAGCCCTATGTTCCACTAGGAATTACAGGAAACAAGAATAATAATATAATAATAATTTCATGATAATATAAAACCGAGCTAAAGCTAGTTAACTGTGATGATTGTGTGATGATTGATCAAATTATGATTAGTGGTATACTACTCACGTCAGCTAGTAGTGCTTTCTAGCCAGCCAGACGTTGAAGTGATCTAAACATCGGACGGTCATCTCTCTAACTTTTGGGGTCAAGCTCATCAGCGGTGTACTTGATCTGACGTAGCCAAGAGAGTCGAATCAGTCCAAACCACCTGAATTCCAATTGGCTACTTAAGCAGACTGGTAATAAGTTAAATCAGATTGAGAATTTACATAGTTTGAAGTGACTGTAGGGTCTAACAGTTTTTTATTTTCACTAAGCGGTGACACGGCTTTCGTTTGATACAACTTTACTGGATTTTATCACTCTACAGGATTCTGTTCCACCAGTGTGAGATCAATCACATGCCGATTTATATTTTTATCACTTTATCACTCATGAACAAGATAGAAATGGACACTGATATAAGAATAAAACTTGTGCACTGTGGTAGAGTATAACCTTAATATGGGTAAAATTTATTTTGATAAAGTCTCACAGTGTTATACAGTAAGTAATATTTACTGATGACCACGTTTCGAGCGCAGTTTATTGCCACTCATAATCATTTGAAGGTACTCACATACCTTTCTAACTTCGTTAATGTAATTCCGCTATTTCCATCCCTTGATATGGTTGACAGTAATATTTTTCATATTTCCAGTACAAGCGATGAGTCATTCCCATTGCATGTAATGGGTGAAGGCTGGATGAACAAGGATTCAGTAATCAATCTCTCTCTATCTCCACCTACGTAGATTAATTCTTAGAATTTTAACCCTTTCCAACCCTATTGTGTGGTTATGTGTTAATGCATTCAGTGCAATGCAGTTCTGAGCTTTTTTCTAAACTACTTATCTTCTCGGGGTCAACCATTCTTACCTTAGCTAAATTCTTAAGTTCCGACAATCTGACTACCCCTGACCTACTAGTTTGACCTATGTAGTTGACCTCACAATCATTGCATGGTATTTTGTAAATTATATTATTTTGTTTAATTGGGTCAACTGGGTCCTTTAACCTACACAGCTTGTCCCTGAGTGGATTTGTAGGTTTAAATGTCACCCTAATCCCTGCTTTATTTAGAATTCTACCTAGGGTTTCAGATGTCCCCTCCTTATATGGTATAACTGTAGATGACTTATATTCTCTCTTATTTATGTTATCATTAATAGTTTCACAATTATTTTTATTTTGCTTTTGACCTATACTGATCTTTCTAATGAATTTTATAGAATAGTTACTCAACGCCAACTCTTCTTCTATCTGTTTTATTTCATCATTTAGGTCTTTTTTGTGCTACTTGGTGCTACTGCTTGGTTTGTTAGACACTCAACTAAACCTGCCTTCACAGACAGATAACGGATAAGACGAATTCAAGTCTAAATATCTATTAGAATGCGTTGGTTTTCTATAAACACTAGTGTGTAGTTTGCCTTCTTCTATTCGTTTGATTTTAAATCCAACATCACAGCTAATTCTCCTTGTTCATTTTCTGATTCAAATGTGAATTTTATTCCCTCAACTAGTGAGTTTATATGTGTCAAGAAGCTAGAGATATGTTTTGTTTTTAACACTGTGAAAGTGTTATCCACATATCTCCACCATATTTTTGAATTAGGATTAAACGTATTAAGATCCATATATTCCCAGCTATCCATAAATATATCTGCTACGATAGGGGATATTGGTGATCCCATTGCTACACCTTCAGGTTGTCTATATATTTTGCCTTGGAATTTAAAGATAGTAGATGTGAGGCATAACTGAATCCCCCAAATAATTTGTTCAGTGGACAGCTTTGTCCTATAAGTGAGTTCAGATCCGCGGTTAGTTCTTTTTTAACTGCTTCTAAAGCCATATTGACTGGTATATTAGTGTAAAGACTAGTTATATCAAAACTAACCATTTTTTCATCATTCTCTACTTGAATGTCATTTAGTTTTTTTTCATCTCATATGAATTAGTTAGTCTAGAGTTTGAGCGATTTCTAATGGGGCATAATATTAGAGTGTTAACTGATGAGACGAATTAAAGTCTAAATATCTATTAGAATGCGTTGTGCTCGAAACGTGGTCATCAGTAAACATTACTATATAACAAACACTGTGAGACTTTATCAAAACAAATTTCACCCATAATGGAATAGAAATCGACAATTTCTTAATGGATATTTTGGTGCTGTTGATAACTTTTTGACTATTTCTATTCTTTGTTTTACTGTAATCAGTTGAATCAGTTGAATTTGACAATCATCCTGCAGGTTGAAATACACCAAAATATGGTTTAGTTAAACAGTCAGTTGTTATTTATCACAAATCAATTAATCTATTAGTTATATATTGTAAACACTTAACTAGGTAATGAGATATTTGAATGATGTGACCTTGAGAATTCAATGTTCACTGCATGTGAATAAACAATTTACATCATATATATATACAGTTGTAAATGTAACAATTATAACAATTCTTTTTAATATGGTACTTTAATTGCACATACGTAAGCCCACTTCCTGTATATATATATATATATATATATATATATATATATATATATATATATATATATATTTATATATATAGAATGAATCTGAATAAAGCTTCACTTCATATTGA